GCGACAACATTTCTCCCACTAAAACACCCCCATCCATTCTCTCTCTGTCTTGCTGTTTCAGTTTTCATTTTCCTCTTCCCTTCTCCCCACATGAGGGAAGAACGGAGATTTGTTACTTACTCCTCCTCCTCCTCCTCCTACTACTTACTACTACAACCCTTTGAGCGATGGAGAGTCCCTATTATGCACCGCCTCACCTGGACGCTGCTGCATCATTGTCCTCTTCTTCTTGGGACAAGCTCCGATCTCTCCGTCAATCCTCCCACGCTCATCCAGATCCAGATGTCGAAGCTCATCATCATCCCTCAACAGCATAGACTTCGTAGCTTGCAAACCTCTTCTTTCTCTGCAACTCTGGATCATTCAAACTCCAACTTTTTGATGACCCAACACTAGTGATTTTCTTGATTTTCTTGATCTTCAATTCTTTGCCCATCTGGGTTGGTTGTGCTTGTTCAGATGATGATGTGGCATAAGAAGTACTGTAACTTCTCAGATCATGCATGCTAGTAGGATGACCTGGCCTAGTAGGCCTACCTCCATTGAAGCTACTCTCTGTCTGCATCCTTCCATCCCTACATGGTTTGGATCTGAAGTTCTCCATAGCAAGTACAGAAGAAGAAGAAGAAGAAGAATAAGAAGGAGAGAGAGACAGCACACACAAGATGGACTCAAGACACATCATTGACACTGATACCCACACAGCTAGACACCATGCATGAGGGATCTCTGGTTTTTTTTTTTTTTTTTTCTCCACTAGCCCACTTTCATCATATCCTTGATTCCCCTTTAAAACCAAACCTCTCTCTACACAGACAATAGCCAGAACCCACCATTCATCCCACTAGAGTATATCTAATATATATATATATATTAACAACCGCAGACCCATCATTCATCACTTTTGTCCCCTCATCCACTTGTATATTATTTTATTATACATATTATTTTAATATTTTAAAATATATTAGTGTCATCTCTCCACCCACTCACTGAGCCATACTTCCATAGGCACTCCTCCTCATTTCACCAATAATATATATATTTTATCACAAAAAAAAAAAAAACAAAAAAAAAAAAAAAAAAAAAAAAACATCAAACATTCTCACCACTTGATTTTTTCTGCCTGTCCTTCCTACCATCCGAGTTTGCACAACACATTTGTTTTATTCATATCGGGGATCAACCCCGATCACCCTTTTACACCAAAAAAAAAAAAAAAAACACAAACAAAAACAAAACTACCACACCTACAGTGGGATTTTTCTTCTCTACTCAGCCGCCGGTCTTTTCTTCTTGCCTCCGTCCTGGGTGGTCCTTGCCGGTGTTGCCTCCGTGCTTCCTAGACCACCAAGCAAGTTGCCTCCTCCCTGCTCCTCCACTACAGCATATGGTGGACCTCCAAATCGGATACATGCGTTGGAGCAGAGCCAGTTGGGCGTTTAACTGCTGCACCTCATTTGTCCTACTCTGCAGCCGGTGCGACAGGTTTGTGACCGCCGTCATGGTCTCCACACATGACTTCAAAGTATACTGATTGGCCTCAATATCCGTTTGCACCGCCATTTTTTGCTCCACCGACCGCATCGGAAAGTTCAACGGAGCAAACCCAGAGGCGCTTGGTTGAGGTTCACTGGCCTCCGCACCAGTTATCTCTCTTGTTGACTCGTTGAGGTCGGGAAAGAGAGTGAGCAGACCACGGGACGAAGAGGCCATATTCTGGGTAGCTGAACGGGAAGACGAGGCCATGTTTTTGGGTTGCTAAGTGTTTCAGAGAAGCAGCGATTACCGATTGGTACTGTCAGACAGGGTTGGTTACAGAGTGTTTCAAGATTTGCAGCTCTTAGAGACAAGCTCTCCGAGAGTTCAGAGGTTTCAGACTGGTTTGCACAGCCTTCGCCTCACCCTTGGTTTAAATAGCCAGGGCCGATCCGCGCATCGCGCGCCACTTGCCGACAGACGACAAAACGGGCGCGCAAGCCAAGGTAGTCACGCGCCTCGCCATAATGTCCGGCACACCTTTTTATGAATTGGGCACGCCTTTTAATGGCACACCTTTTGAAAGATTGGGCACGCCTTTTGAGGGCGCGACTTTTGAGGGCTCGATATATATATCCATGTATATCTTTTGAGCAGCCTATATACACACTCATCCAGTGTCTTCTACAACGGTCAGCTTTTATCAATCCCTTTGTTTCAAATAGGTTTCTATCTTCACACCTATTTGAGTTTGAGAGGGGGTTATACATATATCATGTATCATGGTGAGCATGGTTACACACCATGGGAACCACCCAAGCCACCCCATGGCGCACTCCCTAAGTCGCCCCCTTGGTGCACCACCACAAACTTCTACATCGGTCTGACATGACCCCGTAAACTGTCCGGACATTGATTCCGGTCAGCTTCTACATCGGTCCGACATGACCCCGTAAACTGCCCCGACATTGATTCCGGTCAGCTTCTACATCGGTCCGACATGACCCCGTAAACTGTCCCGACATTGATTCCAGTCAGCTTTTACAACGGTCCGACATGACCCCATAAACTGTCTTCTACATCGGTCTGACACGACCATACAGCGTCTTCTATCCCATTTTTAATTTTATTTGTCAGCTTATTTTTCTGTTTTGTTACTCTCTCCAAACTCAAGTTGGCTAGTACCTATCCTCCTTGAGTTTGAGGGGGGCTGTTAATGTAAATTGTAAATTGTAAACATACCTACTACTCCACCTACCACCTCCGCTTCACCTACTCCGCCTACCACCTACTACCACCTACTCTTCTATATATATAAGAATCATTGTAACATTCAATATAACAATCAATAATACATACATAATTGTTTCTCTCTTTTTCCCTATACATTTATTCTAACAACATGAAACCACAAAACATCAATTCATTCTCAACCACGCGTTTACATTCTGAGCAAAATTCTCGACACATTTTTGAAGTAACCAAGTTTGCTGTCTGTGTTATTACACATTAATGAGATCCAAATAATCAAATGCCGCTTCTATATGTTTCCCTGCCCAATGTCAATCACAAGAAACAAAACCACTTTTATTTGATCAAGTATCTATTTTCAAGACACTCCAAACATAACTATAAAATGTACAAATTCCTCAAGTTTGACTCAAATCAATTCATTACAAGCCCATTTAAAATTGGATAAATAAATCAATTTTAAAATATTTTAAAACTCATTAAGTTATCAAATTAAACTTGAATGACCTACTAGTTAACTAGTTTATATCTCTATTTGCAAAGTGGTTTAACCTTTTGAGTAATTTGTTTAACGGGAACATAACAAAAATTCAACAAACTTCAATGCCATTAGAATTAGTTTAACAAGATTATCTGATATAGAAATGTAAGATTAAGAAAGATGCTTAGGTCTCTCTGATATCACATCTACTAAGGCAAAAAGCTAACACCGTTTACTATACAAAATCATTGGGAGCTCAAACAATACTAAACTATATCATGTAACAAAAATGTTAAACAAGCTCAAACAATACTAAACTAGTTCATGAAACTAGAATGTTAAACATTAAAAAACATGTTTGGCATAGGAAAGTGAGATGGCTAGTTAAGAAAACGACTTGTCGCATGTCACTTTTGCAGTAGCTTCTTCTGGCCATAGAAGAAGCAAGTTAGGCCCTGTTTGTTTGATGGGGTGCAAGCCCTTTCAAGAGTCGCATCCTCTTGACCCTACTTGATTTATGGAAAATTTGGCTCAATCATAATCTATGAAGTACGGATATAGATATAAATACTAATACGATATAAGTATGTTGATATGATAAAATTTATAAATAAATAAAAAAATACGGATACAACTTGATACACTTGTAAAAAAATATATATTTTTTTTAATTTAGATAATGTAAAAATTAATTAAATATTTTAATTTGTTAAGATCCAATATATAATTAATATTTAATGCTTAAAGTAAAAATATAAATCAAAATTAAATGCCAATATATTAAATAACTTACAAACCATAATTTAATTTTAAAATCATACTTAGCATAAAACAAAAAATAAAAGAAAGCCTAGTGAAAAAAGTCTGATATCTGTAGTAAAAAAAAAAAAAATTTGTTTCAATTGAAATACAATATCGCTTAAGTATATACTAAGTATGTTTTAATACGCCAAAAATTAAGAATAAAAAATTTAAATCCGTGTTTCATGTACCTGGTACATATACAAAAATACTATACAAAATACCATATCCCGATAAGTACCCAATACATATCCGGCATATTTTTCGAAACAACAATGATTCATCCCACTAAAAACATCACCACTAATAGCACTAATGCATTAAAAAAGTAAAAAAAAAAAAAAAAAAAAAAACTCCAAGACCAAAACATCACATCATTAATAGCGGGACCCACTGCCACCTAATTAGTGGGAGCACTAATTAGTGCTCCCAAGCATTTTTCTTTTCGAAATAGTCATGTTTCATAGATCATAATTATATCACATTTACAGGAACAAAAATGGAAAGAATTTGAATGAGCAGCAATTTGTAAGTGTTGCTACTGATTACAGATTAACAGACACCACAATGACAATTACAATCACATATGCCTATGATGATTATCCAAAAACTCAAAAATTAATAAATAAATAAAAATGATGAGATTATTTCATCCTTAAAACAAAGTTACGAAGACGAAAGCCTACAGTTCAATCTCCAAATTCAGCAACCAGAGGGAAGGGAGGGAAGGAAATAGCAAGCATACAAGCTGTTGGGAGCAACTTCTTAAAAGCTAAAATTTGATAGTGAGAAGGTAGAATCTAAAAATATCTCTTCTCTTACTTCAAAATAATCAGCTTTTTTTCTCATAAACTGTTGTAAACAGAAACTGTATCAAATAGTATGACGCAAATTTCCAAAATATCACCTCATAAGTTGCACCATACAGGGTCATAATCCTATTCCCTAATGAACTTCAAAATTAAATGCATACATATACACATGTATGAGAAGAAAAACAATTAAAGCAAGAAATAAATAAATAAATAAATAAAAGTTTCTAGAAATATACAAAATAAACTGAAACCAAGCAAATATCCAGACACATACGCTATAATACTATCCTCCAAAGGATTTGAAGGTTTTTATCCAAGAGATGTGATAGCAGTATTGCTCTGTGCACAAGTCTCCAAGTAGAGAGAATACACAGATTTATACCCATCAAAGCCCAATGAAAGGCTATGTACACAAAATGATTTTCAAAAACGAAAAGCCCTAGTTTCTCTTTCACGATGTCTCAAAATGATGTTGGACTATGGAATCATGGAGAAAACGAGATGAAGAAAAGAAGGCAAAACATCTGGTATTTCATCCATGATTGATCATATATCAGAAAGACACGGAGTTGCTCTTAAGTTAGAGCTGTACACTAATAATATTTGTAATGGTTTGACCGGGAACTCTAAGATCAGTTCCTGTCAATGACCTCTGCAGGTAAGTTGAGGTCTATTGTGCTTTCCTTTCTAGGGCGCTTCCGTGATGAGCATCCACTTTCATCTAAACTCCCAGAGCCTGAAGGCTGATTGGATTCTTTTGTGATTCCTGCAAATAAAAACATTGCTTCAGAAGAGTACTGTTAAAACCAACTTACAGATTTCAACATTTATAGAAAAAGGTAGTCAAATATTTGACAAAATTCCATACTGTGAAACAATAGTATTGTTACAAACTTATAATTCTATTGTTGCATATTATGGAACAATAAAAGAAAAAATTTCATACCACAAAACAATTCAATTCAAACATTACCCATGCCTTACATGAAAATCAAAATTAATTAAAAGGGTTTGCTCCATTTTTTAATTAAGATGCTAAAAAAATAGAAAAACAGGAGCCCCAAGAGAAGAGTTTGCTCCAAATTTTAGTTTCAGAAACTTTGATCTAGCACATGCATTCATAAGCAGTTAGAAGCTATATACGATATATTAGTATATACACATCAGATACTATGTAGAAAGCATAATTTCCTCACAGAATAAAGCATGCACTGAAATTTTTGTTTCAACAATAAAATTTGAGTGAAAACACATAATCACAAAAAAATTTACAATATAATTAGAAGCATGTAAAATACATACAAAGAAATCTTCCATCTACAACTAGAGAGATGCTGGACTGCCAAAATAATAGAAATCCTAAATTTTTGGATCTCAATATCATAGTATCCATGAAATATTAATGGCCTGTTTATAACCATCCAAGAAAACCCTAATTGAAAGTTTCCAAGAATAAAAAACTACATCAACGAAGACTAAAAAATAGTAAAACCCATATAATAAATAAAAAATAACATTAAAATAAATATTTAATCTTCCTCTAATTCCTTCTTGTTCCTCAGTAATTTTCTTCAACTGCAAAAAACTAACCTCCGAAGAGTTTTAAAATAGAAGTACACCATAAAATGAAACTCAAACTGATGAAGCAATTCCTCAAGTACAATATCATGTGAGGTCAACTAGATGATACGAAAAATATCCATGTATGAGAATGATGCTTTGACTATTGGTATCATCCACAACAAGATATCCACTAGATTACTACTGATACAAGCAAACTGACTGGAAAAGCAGCAATTCATGAAAAAAACACCATCAAATCAAACAAGAGGCTTCGAAGTGCCTCGATCAAGTAGACTACCATATTTTCCACATAAAATATTAGACCGATATCTGAATTAGTAAAATGTGCATTTGGCCCTTATTCAAGAATAGCTAAATCAAGCCCATGAGATGTCAACATGAAATATTTCAATTGACTAGATTTTAAAGACATTTGAATAACTACAATGTCCTGATGCCAAAAATAAGTAAATAATATCATCTAAGTTACTGCTAGCATCAGTTAGAGGAACATGCAAAGTGACAGAATCAAAGGATTGTGGAGGGTAATAACTAACACAAATGTCAAGTGCACCCTGATTACCAGACAAATAAATCAGACGTATGAGAAGCGATTGACAGACTCACAACTAAGCGCATTAGTAGGAAAATCAATGCCTAGATCAACATATAGCACAGATACTGATTCAACAGATCGTTTCTCAAGTACAGATACTGATTCAACAGATTGTTTCTCAATTACCATAACATCTGATAATTCAACCTCAGACAGTTCTTGGTCACTTCAAGATGAGTGTCATCATTGATATGGATTTGTCTCACAGATTATTCAAGGGGGTCCATGTTATCTCTAATGGTGTTCGTGAGGGCACGAACGGTGCTCATGTTCTCTTCAAAGGAGGGCCATGACTATCAAGTAGTGATCATGTTAATGCATAAGATGTAATTAAGTGCTCATAAGAAAGTACGAGGCAAAGAAAGCAAAACAACTTCTTTTTCCAATGAGAGAATGCAAAGAAACAATAAACAAAAGTTGGGCCATTTTGAAGTAATACTAGTTCTTCCAATGAAATAAAAATACTAACACAATTTTCAAATGAAAAATGTGTGCGTCTGGAAGCAAAAAAGAACCGCTAGATGGCTAAAAGTTGTGCACGAGGTGGATTGGCAGGCGTTGTGGGCTGAGTGCAGATTGGCGAAAATTTTGTGTGACATAAGGATGCAAGCTTTGAGGTGTTCATCATGGTGCAGATTTCGTGTGGCATGAGGACATGACCTGGGCTAGCAAATTCAAATCGGGTTTGTTCCATAGGAAGGCAATGAAGGTTTTGAGACATGATGGATTGGGGTTAGGTTGGTCTGGGCTTGGGCTTGAGCTAGTTTTGTGGTTGGGATTCATTTAGTGGAATATGGGTTGGGTGTGTTGATTTAGTGGAATATAGTCGATTTGGGCTCTGATGCCACTTTATGCAGGCAGCCAACAAAAGAAAATAAATGTAAAAAAAAGACCACACCAAAAAAAAATAAAAGAACCATATCTCTTTGATCTCAATATCATAGTCTCCAATCCATAAACCTATTACATTACAGCCTATTTATAAACATCTAAGAAAACACTAACTAAAAATTTTAAAAAATAAAAACCTACCATAATTAAAGACTAATAACACAATAAAACCTATTCAATTATAAAAAAAGAAAATAACATTAAAATAAATCTTTAATCTTCATCCAATTTCTTCTCATTCCCCATCAGTATGCTCGTGAAATGTGGTGTGTCACTGAAGTGTACCTATCAAATCAAAAGAAAATTTTGCTCTCTATGGAGATTAGATGTCAAAACTGGTACGAAATGAAGAAAATAAGTTGAGGTGATATAGTCAAGCAGAACAAAGTACAATTTTGTAACAAAGAATCATCTGTGTCAAGTATGGACAAAAGGATGTGCAGTCAGAGAAAAACATTTTATATTGCTCCAGATAGAGATTTTGAGATAAAACAATTTTCTGAGCTCAATCCAAACAAACCATCAGAAATAATTTGTCACTACTTCATACAGATAGCTTTTCATAACCAATAAGCATCTCTACCAAGAGAAATAATTTTTCATAACCAGAAGTCAGAGAATTGTGACGTCTTAAATTTGATTCATGCCAGCATTAAAGTATTCGTGAAATTTGTCAAAAGTAAAATATTGTTTACATATATGAATCAGAACACCGCTGACCCGGCACCATGATGTAGCACCACTTATTTTCCCACAACCTACCAACCATAATCTCTGAAATGTAACACTTCCCAATTACATATTAAATAGGATTCCCAAATTTCCACATGCCGTCGTCTAATAAAGAATCACAGTTAAATTCCAAGTAGCGGAGAATAAGTCCAGAAAAACTTACCGTTTGTGTGATAATCTCGCGTAGGACATTTCTCAGTGTTGGTGACTTTAGGGTTCCAACAGACAGAAAGTTCTGTTGCCTTCTCAATGCCTTTTGACTGGTATGGAGCTATGCTGTGAATACCAAATTGGAGCGAACCCAATAAATCGTTTTCAATGCATTCATACCTGCAAGAAGTTAGAAAGTGCATGAGTATCAAAAACCTTAATAAGTTTGAGGCCATGCCACAGCCATACTGACATCTTCTTGCAGAGGTTATCAGTGATCACAGAGAGATTGATGACAACCATCCTTATCTCCATAACTTTGTTCTCACCAAACTGATCAAATGGCTCTTCTATATACTTGGATAGCTTTTCAACATTTGCCTCAAGTTGCTGCTGCTGGTCCTCAAATAAATGTTGTTTTATTTCCCTTTCCTCCTTTGTCATCTCATCCATAAAAAGGTCATCACCAAACATATAATATGCAAATGGATATGAATATGAAAGCACCCGCCTTGACCTAAAAAGCCTGTAAAGTCCATTTGTAACCCAGCTGAAATCTTTGAGTCTTAATTCGTTCCTCTCCAAGTTTGACACCTTCTCTCTTATAGTCTCCTTCAGGTTAGATTCAAGCTTAAAGGAATCTGTATGCGCTTTGTAGCGATTATGATAGTGCATGTAACGGTAGAGATCCCGCTTTGCACGCTCAGCCTTCTTCTCTCGATCTTCTTTATAGCGACCACAACTGTGACCATTGATACGTGACCAAGTATGATCACGGCCAGTAGCTCCACCACAGAGCCAACTACATCAAAAGTAAGACAACATCACTCAATAAAAACTCCACCAGAAGAAAAAAGAAAGGAACGAAAAAAAAGCATTCATAATATAAAAAAAAAAAGGCCAAGTGCTGAATAAAAAAAGACGTGATCAAACATGCAGACCAAGAAAGAATTTCAATCCAAATAAAACAAAATTGATATCCCAGACAAAACATATGACAGACTCAGAGACAAAATATGACCATATTATTCCTACCTTAAGTAATCAAGTCAATTCCATCACATATTCTAACCAAGTATAATAAAAGATTAATCACACAAACAGGGTCTCCAAAAAAGCAAAATACTAAAAAGAACCTCAATATATACATGTAGAGCACCTTTAACTTTATTTAGAAGTAAACAGCAAAAAAGAAGCAATAATGTTTATGTGGTATCTGGCTATGAATCAACCTATTGATGAATTCAGGCTAAGGGTATAGCATCATAGATCAATGGACCCATGAGAAATCTCACAAAATGAATTCCACACTCGCTGGTTACTTACTGATCATACCAGAAAGTTAATTCAGGTCATCTAGGTGTTTTGTTAGATATCCTGATCATGTCAAGAATGTCATATCATGAATGCTGAGAACATTAGGACTGCATCTGATCATGTAGATACATATGCACATTCATATTAACAAGTATAACTCTTGTGACCACCAAAATATGGCGCAAAAACTAATCCAACAGGCATTTCTACATTTTTAAGACAGAAGACATATGACCACAACTAGTATACTATAGAAGAAATATAGGACCACTGAGGTTTTAGCCACCAACCTTGACCTTCTTCTGATAAAACTTCCATCCAACGTACATTGTTATTATCTCCCTTCTTCATACATTTACATCTCATCAGAGCCATGTTATAACAGCATCATTTACATCAATGACAGCCCCTCCTCTTTTTTCAGTCATGTAAGCAGAGAAAAAATATGCATTCCACTACAGGAAAGCACATTCAGAAAATTATGCTCATAACTACATTAAATAGATGCTTGGTATAGTACCAGTCCTGGAGTCCCACATCAAGGTTTAGGAATAACCGAATAAGTGCAGTGTGTGCAGCACATCCATCTCTCACAAAGACAAAAATAGGTTTAGGAGTAAGTCCAGTCTGTACAAAACATGCATCTCTCACATATACATAATTCTCTACCAAATTTTAACTAAAGGATAAAAGGTTTAATTTTTCTGATTTAGGATGAGTAAGTGAACCTCTTTCCGGTCCACAATATTAGAAAGAAACTAAGAATACAGTAAGCAGATTAGTTCCTAACTGCTTCCAGACCCCACCCAATATACACACGAACAAGGAAAAAAACCTTAAAAAGAAGAAGAAGAACAACAACAACAACAAAATAACTTTCTTCGGCAGAGGATTTCAAAGATAGCACCAACTCACTAAAATGAAACAAAGGCAACCAGAAATAAGTCTCACCAAAATGCTTGCCCACAGATGCAGCTCACAAGGTTGCAGCCCCCATTCTTCTCCACAGGTTTGTGACACTTAGGACAAGATTTTGTATGAACTGTAATCCAGTTAACTGTTTCTGATTCATCATGACACTTTTTAGTCCACAGCTCCCACATCAAACATGAACAGGGTGAGTGTGCTTCAGCTAAGCAGCTGAAACAGAACTGTAAACCACATGAACATTCAACCTCACAAAATTCATCATCCTCGACACGAATTGCATTCCCACAATGAGGAGCACTCGGGCACCATTTAACCATTTTATTGTCCTCAATATATGACTCAAGAAGAAAACGATCAAATTTCTCTGCTAAATCAGGATGGCTTTTACTAACAAGATTTCTGACGATAGCTTCATCACAAATAGCATTACATTTGTGTGCCATGCACCTAATACGCTTACTCTGACCCTCATTTATCTTCACAATAAAATGCTCTGTCCAACCTAAAAGCAAGAAAAAAAAAATATAGACAATAAACCTCCCTTGTGATAATGTATACTGCATGAATAATGAAGCCTACATTCAAGAATTGAGAATAATAAACAATCCAGTAAATATATCTCCCAACATCATCTTCAAATAGAAGTAATTTTTTGAAAAAAGAAAAAAAGAAAAAGGGGGCATGTATACAATAACTAACTCCTTTCCTCGTGAACAATATTTAAGGCTGATATCATCATCTAAATCGACGAGTTCTGTGTGTCTGTGCATTAAAATTTTTAAGTTATTTATAAGGTATGGTCTGTGATTTCTTGAACTTTATGAGATATCTACCACAACGCAATAAAGTGAGGCAGCCAGCAGATAAAGGAAGCAAGCTTACAATTGTTGCAGAAGTCATGGCCACAGTCCATTTTTGTCGCCTCAGTACCAGGTACATCCTCTATGCAAATATTGCACATTATTGTAGAAGAGGACGGCAAATCATGATTTTCAACCAAAGTCACACCTGCTCCAGCAAACAAGCAATCTCTCCCCTTCTCCACAAGAACTGCAAACAACTTCTCGACATCCCAGCGGTAATGAATTAGTAGAGTCCGTGCATGGTGTTCTCTTAGAGACAGCAAGTCCATCACTCTACGCAAATCTTCCCTCTACAATAATGTGCAATAACTAAAAGTTTCAGTCTTCCGAAAAATATAGATGTATTCACAACATCAACATCAAAAGCAAATAGAAGTTTATTTCCCTTTTACCTGTGCAGCCAAAAGAGACTCTTTGGTGATTACCTGCAAAAGGTCCAAAACGGATTGTAAAAGGTACAGTATCAAAAACTAAACAAAACAAAACCAAATTAAACTATGTATCCCAATCAAGTGAGGTCCACTGCATGAATCCTTTTCCGCCTTTCACCATTCAACTCAATCAAGGGCTATAAGCTTGGTTAATTTAAACACACGTTCATATTAGGATTTATGTTCATAAGGGATCCGATGGGATGGGGATTTTTACATGCTGAGTGTCAAGATACTTAACACACAACCCTCCTCATTTATCCGGGCTTGGGACCGGCTGTATAAAAGATTAGATAATAAGCACAACACAAGCAGAGTTATACGGTATCAGAAACTGGTACATAAAAATAAATAATGGGTATTTTAGCAAAGTTCATTCTTAATAGGTTTTTCCATTCACCACTCAGGATTGCACAAATAGAAATAGCAAAAATGTACATTGGCATAATTATAAATTACAATCACAAAAAAATTTATGTGATGAGCTGAGGAGTTCACCGCAACCCTGATACAATATAAAAGTGATTAAACAAGAGGACTCACTTAACAAAACTAACCCTTTTTTAATCCCTTATGCTGTGTTTGGATATGGATTTGGGTACAATAGGCATCACTTAACAAGACTAACCCTTTTTAATCCCTTATGCTGTAACTTTTCCCTTTCCCTTTCCTAATCCCCATCCAAATCAATGAACCAAACACAGCCTTAAAGAGAAGTGAATATCTGTTTGAGAGGCCTCCCCGAAACAACAAATTACCACTAACTCAATCACTTGAGCCCCAAAATCACCAAAATGAATCTTCATATAGCAATAAGAAGATACTATGATAGCATAGAATCAGCTCCAATTTATTAGAGAGAGAGAGAGAGAGGGGAAATTTTTCAACGAACAAAGACAAGAAACATATATACAGGGAGACACATGCATTGAATACCTTACAAGAAGAAGCTTTTGGAGGGACCCACTGGACATGAGACTCGTCGTTATCGATTCCGTCGAGGGAATCTTGATCGGAGCAGTAATAATCTTGTTCGCTACTACTCGTACAATCCTCCATCGCTGATGACGACGATGATGATGATTGTGTGAATAAATTAGTCGATCCTTGTACGAAATTCGATGGTTCGATCAGAGCTAAATGTGATGAAAGAGAGAGAGAAAGAAAACGATGATGATGATGATCGTGACGGATTCCGGCGAGTCGCCGGCGATAGGAATTTGGGGGTTAATAAGACAGCGTATAAAAGCGATGAAGAGTATCGAGAGAGAAAGACTTGTCTTCTTGCCTTTTTGACTCCGATGCCAACCCAAATTTATTTGGAAATTCAAATTAATCGTTAAGAAATTACATTTGGTTTGAGTTTTCTGGATTAAGTTTTTTGAAAATTGATTTTTTTTATTTTAATATTTTTTTATTTTTAATGAATATTTTTTAAATTTTAAATATTTGTACCTTATTTAGATGTATTTAAAAAGTAAAAAATTTATGAAAAAATATTTTTAAAAATTAATAAATACATAAAAATATAAAAAATATAAGAAAAATGCTTGGGAGCACTAAAAAGGGATCACTAAAAGGAGCACTAATGATGTGGCAGTAGGCCCCACCCACTTTCTATGCCTTGTTTTTATTTTTTTATTATTTTTTTTGTCATTTTCAATGTATTAGTGCTATTAGTGATGCATTTTTTAGTGATCTAAATAATTGTTGAAAATATAATGAGTTCTTGTATTTTTTATATTTTTGATATTTAGTGAATTTTTAAAATATTTTTTTTACAATTTTTTTATTTTTTAAGTATATTTATGTTGGGTGTGTCTAAAAAGTGAAAAAATTGTTTAAAGTATTAAAAAAATTCAGTAAAAACAAAAAAATACGAAAAATAAGAAAGTAGAATTCTGTGAAAAGTGTTTTTTGAAAAGTGAAAACAAGCAAGGTGATGTTTTTATGAATTCAGCTCGAATATTCTCAAAATAACGTTATTTTGAGAGTAAAATAACATTGCTTTAATATATTCAGGTCATGTCAGTCACGCAAACTTAAACTATTAAGCATTTTTAAGGTTATTCATCTGCCAGGTCGGACCGGGCTAAATATAATCTGAATTGACCTTACTTAACAAAAATTTCATGTTCATTTAAGTCCGACTCCTGTTTTAACATGGGGCTGATATTCGCCCGATGTATATGTCAAGTTATGTTTTAATTTTTAGGGCAAATTATATATACTCTCTCGAGGTTTAGTAAAGTTACAAATGCCTTCTGAGGGTTGAGAAATTACAGATAACCCCTGAAAGTACTATTTGCATAACAAATTAGAGAGCAAATTGTTATGAAAATATAAATCTCAGGGAATAATTTGTTATGAAAATATAAACGTCAGGGGGTATCTGTAATTTCCGAAATCTCAAGGAGGTATCTGTAATTTAGGTAAATCTCGATGGAGGTATATGTAATTTGCCCTAATTTTTAATTTATCATAAATTTAATTAATTAAAATTTATCAGTGTTTGGAATTACTAAATTTTATTCACAACTATTTTTAAAATTTTTTTAAAAAAATTCCATTAAAGCAAAACCAAAAAAATTCAAAAATAGTTGCTTTTTTAACATTTTTTTAATCTTTGGTAAATTTTTTTAGATTTTTTTAAAAATTTTATTTTTATATCTTTCTAGCTAGACAAATTGGGAAAATAAAATTTTGACACCATTTAAAAAAAAAAATTTAAAAATGTTATTTTTGTAATTAGATGTCAAACCAAGCATCCAATATTTTGTCATGTCACTATAAGCAAAGTTACAGATTGTAAATGTCTAACATTCTTATGAAAAAATGGTAGACACCCTAAAACACTTTTTAAATTTTCTCACAATAACGCGGTTAGAGGTTAGATTTTAATTGATTGATTTTTAAGCAAATTACTAACCAAACAATTTGTTATTAAGGATAAATTTAAAAGTCATGTTTTAAGATGCTATGTATTTTTCATATATTAAAAAAGAATGTTATAGAGATTAATAAAAGAAAAAAAAATATTTGATTTTTTAACCTTCTTTTACTTGCACTAACTAATCATAAAACTAAACATAACTCTTTCACATAATAAATATAGACTTATCTTATGTGAAAAAATTATATTCAATTTTGTGATCTGCTTTTATGTTCCTTGACTTTTTATTTTTTATTTATAGAAGTTCTTTTAATTTTAATTATATTATTTTAGTAAGTTCTTTTTAAAAATTTAAATTTATTTCTATATGCTATATTTACTAATAAAGAAATTATAAAATTTGTTAGTTTACATAGTATTATTCAATGAGAAAACGTTGGAAATGATAATAGTCCCGTCCCATGAAATTGATTATCTTTATCTAGTATTATTTTGTTATAATTAAACATAAATTATCTCACTCAATTATTATTGCATTTTGATTATTCTAAAACATTTGACTCCGTGTCACCATTTTCTCATTATTGAAACTATAGTGAATAATTTTAAGTCATCAGGTGTGCTTGAAATGGTGTGCAAATTAGGACCATGAAGGCCTTAATTATCATTATTAAGTCAAAGTCTATTATTATTTAAGATAAAGTATAAAAAACTGTCTCATACCAGACAACAAACTTATCCAAGTTCGGGTAAGAGTATACATTTCATTATCATATACCTCAAAAGTCTTTCTTTGTCAAAATACACAGAGAAACCAACGACCACCTACCTAAAAACATTGCTTCTTTTTTATCTTGGTTCCATTTATAGCAAGGGTTCTCTGTCATAACAACTTTATGTAATAAATAACATAATTTAATAGTCTAAAATTTAAAACTGAAACAAATAATAACAATTCTTCAATTTTAAATCTGGATCGTTAAATTACTATAACAAGATTATGGTAAAGAAAATATGGTAGAAGTTCTTGATTCTCCAAATTATAGATTATTGAACCCTGTTAAATTTGGCAAGTTATAATGTTGCTAAACCTAATGTTAAATTTGGCATAAGGTTTGACAATTGTCAAAAATTATCAAGAGCTAAAACTACCCCTCTCATGAAGGAGCTCACAAATCATTTTTATTTATGATTGTGTAACAACAACAAAAAAAAAAAACACACATTTTTTCGTATCCAAAATTTTTGAAAACAAAAATGATAGAAACACACATTAATGTGTACTAATTTGGCGTTATTTTTTTTAATTCCATTTTTTGAAAACAAAAACAACACAACAAACAAGTTTTCCTTTCAAGTTTAAAAAGAAAAACACCCAAAAATTACACCATCTAGGCTTCTCCTGCTTGAGGAGGGCATATTACCCACAAAACAGAAGGAAAATACAAGGACAATGTTTAAATGATAAAAACATTTCACACTATTCTCATCCCATCAAATCAAAATCATACTAATATAGTTCACACTTTCAATATTGTATATCAGCAAAACTATAAACAGAAAAAATAAAGTAATAAATACAAAAACACTCCAATTATAATTGTATGCCTCCTATGAATCTAAAGTATACCCTCATTTTCTTTAATCATTCCGCTATCATTCATAGAGGAAGTCTTTGAGGAAATATGAATTTATAGCTCATAGGAATCGATGGGCAGTCATCATTCTCTATAATTTTCTTGGGGATGGCATTGGAGAAGTTGGAGGCTTTAAATCTTCATACCTGTTCATCGAAATAAAAAGAAAGACAAGAAGACGGTAAGCTCATATCGATTTATGTTTCCTTGGTGAAACGCGTCATTGGAATAACGCAATCATTATTAACCCTTCTACACGAAATGAAGAATAGAGGAAAAAGAAATGCAAGCCAAGAACTACAAATGACTTGCATGGAAAAAGGTGAAAGCGGCCTTGGTTTTGGTCCAGCAGGATGTTGTTCATTTGGGAGGGCTTGAGCTGTGTTGTTCACCAACACCGTGGCCATTTGAGACCCACCATTCGAGGAAGATGGTGGCAAGAGTGACCCGGTTGGTGCATTAGGAGACGGTGATGTAGGAGGCCTTAAGTCAACATATCTAAGAACAAAAAAAGTGTGCAAAGGCTTAGGGAAGCAATGAATTGAAAAGGGAAGTATTGAACTGACAGTATGCTGCTGTATTCTGCAAACTAGTTAAGTGAATGCTAGACAAAAATCCAAGCATAACCACTTAAAACTTAAAAGATAAAACATTCAGAATAAAGGCAAAGAAATTGAAAAGGTATTAGCAAAAAACATAAAGGTATATTATGAATATGAACCGATGAAGAAACATGATAAAGAAAATAATGCAATATAAGATATCACAAGGAGAAGATTAGAAGTGCCACATCTATGCCCCGACACAGAGAAGCCTCTAAATAATATTAAGTAGCAATACTAGCAGTATTACAATGTGCACAGGGGACTTCTAAATTTTAATGTTAGATTTTACATATGAAGTTTTACTCCCAAGAACTAAGGTGAAAAAATCCAATCTACTGATTGTAATCTTATCGATGATATGTATAGTGCCATTTAGGCAGAAGACATACTTGTCAAAAATTAAGATGAACCATTTTCGCCAGTTTTGCTTAGCAGAAAAGCATGTTCACAATGCAGAGTAGCATACAAAGTCACAAGGCTTTAAACTTGCCAAGATTTAGAAAAATACAGAAACTGGTTTCAATTCATTACTAGATTTTTTAAACATGAGAATTTATCATATGATAGTAGTAATTGCCGCAGATGTAGCACAGCAATAAATAGTCCGGCTAGCAAGAAGTGTCCTACGGTGATGATCAACAGAAAAATTAAAGTGCCGACCAACCCATCATAATAAACTTACGCATGGTAGGGTGATTGATGAGAATTGAATTCTTGGGGAGGATCTGTTGAATATAGAAATTAGAGTATATAAAATCTTTTTATTTTTAGTATTATGTATATAATCTGTGATTGTGTCAATCACTGATTTAGTATTGTTTCCTGATTTAGTATTGTTTCCTTATTTATATCATTTCCTAAATTGTATGATGAATCTATTATATATACATGGCTTTTACCTCATTCATGGGCTATGAAGCACCGGTACTCCTAAAATGTTGCCGTACAAGTACCGGGTACGTACCTGGTACGGGTACGCGTACCGGTACGGCTGCACGCGTACCGGGTACGGCCAAAAGGGCAATAAATAGTCCGGCTAGCAAGAAGTGTCCTACGGTGATGATCAACAGAAAAATTAAAGTGCCGACCAACCCATCATAATAAACTTACGCATGGTAGGGTGATTGATGAGAATTGAATTCTTGGGGAGGATCTGTTGAATATAGAAATTAGAGTATATAGAATCTTTTTATTTTTAGTATTATGTATATAATCTGTGATTGTGTCAATCACTGATTTAGTATTGTTTCCTTATTTATATCATTTCCTAAATTGTATGATGAATCTATTATATATGCATGGCTTCTACCTCATTCATGGAAAAAGTCAAATAATTCTTTTCATTCTTTTTGGTATTAGAGTCAGGTCAAGTACCTGGTAATTTTGCTTCACCAGTGGGCGACAGCCTTGCCTTGGCCGCCCGCCAAACCTCAACCCATTCCACTGCCATATTTTCTTTCAGTATCATTTCATGATGGTCTCTTCCTCTATCCACTAGTTTATTCATATTCCAAATATCTCTATCATATTTTTTTTTTAACTTGCAATCTATTTTTTTGTGTGTTTCTGTTCCACTTTGTCTTTCCCTCTATTTTAACCTCAAATAGGTTTCTATCTTCAAACCTATTTGAGTTTGAGGGGGGGTATTATACCTATATCATGGTAAGCATAGTGATATACCACGTAAACCACCTAAGCCGCCCCCTTTGCGCACAACCCAAGTCGCCCCCTTGGCACACTCTCTAATAAGCCGTCCCTTGGCGCACTCAGTCATCTGTTGCCATCATCGCTCAGCACCACGTCATAAGTTATGTGTGTGCCACGCTTGTTGGTTCAACATCCAGTCTCTACAACAGTTCGACATGACCCCTTAAACTGTTTCAACAATGATTCCGGTCAGTTCCTACAACTGTCCGACATGACCCCTTAAACTGTCCCGACATTGATTCCGATCAGTTCCTACAACGGTTCGGCATGACTCCGTAAACTGTTCCGATATTGATTCCAGTCAATTCCTACAATGGTCCGGCATGACCTCGTAAACTGTTCTGACATTGATTTCGGTCAATTCCTACAACAGTTTGTGTTAAAATCCACCTACTCTCCACCTACTTCACCCACTTAAACCTACTCCACTAAACCTAACCCACTACACCACTACCACCTCACCTACTCCACTAAACCCACTACACCACTACCACCTCCACTTTGGAAAAGCCAAATAATTCTTTTCATTCTTTTTGGTATCAGAGTCAGGTTAAGTACCTAGTAATTTTGCTTCACCAGTGGGCGGCAGCCTTGCCTTGGCCGCCCGCCGAACCTCAACCCATTCCACTGCCATATTTTCTTTCAGCATCATTTCGTGGTGATCTCTTCCTCTATCCACTAGTTTATTCATATTCCAAATATCTCTATCATATTTTTTTTTAACTTGCAATTCATTTTTTGTGTGTTTCTATTCCACTTTGTCTTTCCCTCTATTTTAACTTCAAATAGGTTTCTATCTTCAAACCTATTTGAGTTTGAGGAGTGGTATTGTACCTATATCATGGAAAGAATAATGATATACCACGTGAACCACCTAAGCCGCCCCCTTTGCACACAACCCAAGTCACCCCCTTTGCGTACAACCCAAGTCGCCCCCTTGGCACACTTTCTAATAAGTCGTCCCTTGGCACACTCAGTCATCTGTTGCCATCATCGTTCAGCATCACGTCATAAGTTATGTATGTGCCACGCTTGTTGGTTCAACATCCAGTCTCTACAACAATCCGACACGACCCCTTAAACTGTTTCGACAATGATTCTGGTCAGTTCCTACAACGGTCCGACATGACCCTTTAAACTGTCCCGACATTGATTCCGATCAGTTCCTACAACGGTCCGACATGACCCTTTAAACTGTCCCGACATTGATTCCGATCAGTTCCTACAACGGTCCGGCACGACCCCGTAAACTGTCCCGACATTGATTCCAGTCAATTCCTACAACGGTCCGGTATGACCTCGTAAACTGTCCTAACATTGATTTCGGTCAATTCCTACAACAGTCTGGCATGACCCCTTTACACTGTCCCGACATTGATTCTGGTCAGTTTCTTCTAGGGCAGTTCAGTCTCTGTTTTTTTCCCTTTTTAGGGTGTGGTGCTGATGTATTAAACATTTTTTTTGTCTTTTTTATCTAGTGGACTACCAGATTTGTTCGGTAGCATTTATTTGGACTAGCCGTTAAGTTTTTTCCAGCTTTTTCCAGTCATCCATTGGCAAGCTGCAACTGTTAGATATCTTCACACCAGCTTGAGGGGGAGTGTTGAATATATAAATTAAAGTACATAGAATCTTTTTATTTTTAGTATTATATATATAATCTGTGATTGTGTCAATCACTGATTTAGTATTGTTTCCTTATTTATATCATTTCCTTATTTATATCGTTTCCTAAATTATATGATAAATCTATTATATATACATGACTTCTACCTCATTCATGAGAAAAACCAAATAATTCTTTTCATTCTTTTGAATCCCCCTCAGCAGCACTGCTTTTTGGGATCTTTGCAACATCATTGCCACTGGTAACCTGTGATACAACTTTAGCTGGTGTTGAAGCACTTAAAGTTATATCTTTAGGACCACTTGGGGTTGGACTTGGAGAGGTAGGTGGCTTCCAATCCTCGTAACTGTCGATATCATGAAATCAGTAGTTAACAAGCTGCTCTCCTTTTATGAGTTTGAAAGGCGGAAAGAATTATCATACACTGGGTGAGGAGAAAGAAATTGTTATCTGTAGTTCTATTGCAGCAGATTTCAATTGGCTGCCATTGCTAGCTTTAGCTCTAATGATGGACATAACAATGCGTCAATGTAATTAACATTTCTCCAACCATTAGATGGGTTAGGGGTTGGGGATGCAAGTGGTTTTAAATCCTTGTAAACACAATAATGATGACGATTATGATAATGACAACACAGGAGAGTTGATGATCCCCAGAGACCGAATTATCTTTGACTTTTACATGAATTTGAGTGCATTGTGTATTGGATAGTTCTTGCAGTATTTATATAAGTTTGTGTAAAACACTTGATCAAGCTAATGCATCAGAATATTCATAAACATGTCAAATTTCTACTTTTATCAGGTGACCAATGATCTGTTTGCAGCAGACTACTGAATTGTAGAATATCTATCATACAATGGAATGATTTTATACTGTGGGTGTTAAAACCCCAGTGTTGAAAACAGAAAACAAATAAATAACCAATAAAGTGATTAAGGTTAATGAAGGTAACACAAGGAAAATTAACATACTTTGCATAAGGTGACAGAGGAGTTTTTTTCTTCACTTCTGTCTGGACAGCTTCCTTTTCAGTTACAGTGCTTGGGGATTCTGAAATGTTAATTTGTGTAGATGAAGGGGCAATCTTCAATGCTGATGAAATTCCCTCTACATGGCTTGCTTGAGTAGCACCAGCAGAAGTGCTGGGGGTTGGAGTAGGAGATGTAGGTGGTTTCAAATCCTCATAGCTTTGGAAAGGGAGGGAACAAGAAAAAGAACAAAAAAATAAAAGCACGACTTAATTTTGTCACCATATGTATATATTTTTAATTACAGATATTTATTTTTATTTTTTTGATATTCAATATTTTTAATTACAGACATAATAGACAAAGATGGCTCACACAATATAAGGAGAAAGAGGACTTGCTGCCACTGCTTTTTCTATGGCAGGTTCTTTCTCAACAGGAGCGCTCAGCGGAGGCTCAGATACAACACTCTTAGAAGATTGAGGCCCACCTGCAGTATCTGATTCCTGATAGTACCCCAAAAGAAATTGCAAGTTCTCTGGAAATTAGTTTCATCAAATCGTAGTCTGAATGTGAGCTGTATAGCAAGGTGAAAGGAGAATTTAAAGAAGCCTTTACAATTCTCCAAAATCAAAAACTACAGCTCTTAATGCCTCAAAAGCTTAATGCAATTCTTGTGTCCTAAAACCCATGTTTTCACACAACTGTTGAATTGGGACTGGAGACTTTGTTTAGATGAATTGAGCTACATATTTTTTCAAAGTTCTAAATTACTGTTAATCGATTGCATTTTCAAATTTGTTGTGATACAATGTAAGATTCTGAATAAACTTTTTGTATTCAATTGCATAGTAATTATAGGCCTAATCCTAAATAGGAAACCAGAATAAGCCTAAAAATAAAATATTCACACAGTCTAACACAATTTAAAATATTCACACAAATATATATATATATACTAATATTCTCACAATGTGATAGCTTAATACCATATCAAGACAGGCAAACACACTATTAGCTAGAGATGAACCTTGGTTAGGTAAGACAGTACTTCCTCTCATCAAAGGAACACATAAATAAAGAAGATAGCAGTACTACTTCCAAATTATATGGCCTTTCTATTATAAAGGTAGTGATTTCCTTTTAGGTTTCAGATTTTCACTTAAAACAGTACAAAACTGGATAGTGGCCCATTGACTAGAAAGTTGAATTAGTATGCACTTTCAAAGGAACGATACATGCCGAGAGCAGAATTAGGATTAACCTTTGTATGAAGTATGCTATATTTTTTCTCGTGTATACATAAACTAGAATGGTTACATGTAGAAAATCAATATGCAATTTTAAAGGAATAATAGATGTTGAATTAGGATTTGCCCTATATAGCATATACTATTTTTTCCATAAACAGACTTGGATGAGTACTTCAGCAGTTCAGCCTCTCAACTTGTCAGACTCAATTTTGTAAAAAATAATTACTTGGACGGTTGGCTTTATGTCTTTTTGGCAGGAAATGAAAGAAAATTACCTTCAGTGGCTTAATCTCAACACGTTGAGATGGAATCTTCACAAGGAGCTCTCCCACAGGAGTCAATGGTGCAGTTGTTTCTGCAATAACTTCGACCACCTTACAATATGAAATGCTACGCTTTTTTGCCATAAATGCCATGAGTTCTGCCACCTGTCAGTTATCAACAAAAAGTCACTTTTGTTGCTGACTGGCCCAAGTCTATTCAACATGTAAGATAGAAAAGTTTGGTTTGATTTTCAATAATAATGATTAACTATATTGCAGATATCGAATTGAATATATATACCTTCTGAGTTACTCATCAAATAAATTGTAACCCATTCTGATTATGTTCAAATCAAATTGGATACTAAATCTTGTTGGTTGGACATACCAGATAAGTATATGTATAACCACTCATAATTTACGTTGCTTTCAATTCTACCCGCTTATAGATCAAGGTGAATCCATGTGAAATTTCCGCAGGTATGATCAATTCTTGAGTAGCATTTACAGTTCAACTCAACCAACTATTCGATCTAGGTTGGTGTTGCTTCCTTTTATTGTTAACCCCCAAGAAAACAGTTCTTTTGTATTTTCAAGCATTCCTTCTTTCTTTCTTTTTCTTTTACTATTGTAAGGCCCCTAAGCAGACCGTGGTGACAGTATGAATAGAGAAACAAATAAGGCATCAAGTGCCCTTGCTGCATAGGAAAGGGGGCATAAAGAACCACCCCTATGTTACCAGAAAACGCTAATATTCTAGCGAATTACGTATTGGTATGCACGTTCCAAAACATGGTACACTTTCGTTCCAAAATAGTAATTTTAGTGATCTACAACGATCCCCAATTTTTTCCCAATATATTTCCTTAAATGTTATCTTAAGAGGAAAAAAATCAAATATATGAACTAAAATCTAAGGTGAGTTAAGTTTTGACAAGACAAAAAATCAAAAATGGGTCATAATTTTCATAGAAATGATTTGTTACATGAAAGAAGAAAAAAATTTATTAGATACTTAATTGTCAAAAGAAAATTACTCTAGACGTACCTTAAATTTTTAAGTGTAATATATAAAAGTCTACTCCTATCATACCACATTTTATAACATGTCGCGTACCACATTCCCATTCCCATTCCCATTCCGTGTACCGGAACGATCCACATTCTAGGTAACATAGAACCACCCAAGCCAAATTACAAGTGTAACAGTAAGGTCTTGACATATTCTACAAACAGAAGTTTACTGGAAGAAAACCTGAAGATTTGATACTTGACCACCAAACAAGGTATCTTCCTCTGAAACGGTGACATTATGAGTTTCTTTGTAAGCATCAGTAGGTCGCTCCATGCCTCCAGGTCTCACTATCTGCAACATAACATGATAAAAATAAGTGACAGCCTTTAAGTTCACATATATCCAAAAACAATCATGTTTGTTACTTCTCTGCAGCAAAATCTACGAGAACTCACAGTGTAAGGGAGACCACTAGCTAGCAGTGCTTCTTCTGCCTTCCTTTTCCAAATCAGAACTCCCCAAAACAAACTTCAGCAGCAGAAGCAAAGGATAAGCATCTCATTTTGTTAGAAGATAACTGATTTGTATAGTCAAACATAAAATTGCGTAGCAAATCAAAACTTCTTGACTCACTTCAAAATCGCTGCAGGAAATCCAACCTTGTTTGTCCCCAAAGATGTAAGCAAAATGAAGTGGTTAACTTTTGCTACAGTTGCTGCACATTTAAAAATAATCACTCGAGTTCTAGCATGTTGTGCCTAAAGAGAACAAACTTGCTTGATTCAAAATTGAGAAAATTCCATGTCTTCAGATAAAATCATTCAACAATTTATGCCCTGTCCCATCTCCATCAATTAAAAACTACTAAAAAAATGAATATAGCCAGAATTGAGGAAGGTAGTGAAGATGATAATGATGATTATAAGGATAGATCAAGCCTGATGAATTCAGCATTTCAGAATTGCTACAAGCATGAACCAAGCCCTAGCAAGAGCTAAGATCATGAGCTGGTGCTCCTGACAGTCTAGCTACAATCTCGTATTTAGATAAAATTGCCAAGAAAACAAACTTTCAACTTCTTCACTTTGTATCGTGCAGAAGCTCCTTAACTTCTTGGGACAATGGATCAGGGAAAAAAATCGATAATTGTTGAAATAGTTTTTTTTTTTTTTTTCAGTTTCCCTCAAGGAAACATGAAGTCATGGTGTGTCGTCAATTATCATGGCCAATAAAGTCAGCTGATGCTAAACTGAAAATGATTTAGCAAATATCTCAAATTAAAAGCCTTCTTTACCTGCATCAATAAGATTTTTTGTAGCCTGATAGTCAATTCGATATGGTCCAGTGATATCGAAAACCTCCTTCTCACTGGCTCCAATGCAACATATAACAACTGATGCATTGCCTAATGCTGGCCCAATCTGATCCCATTTCTCCAAGTCACACTTTACAATTGCAAGCTTCTCTATAGCTGGGCTAAACACCAAAGAAATCCTGTTATTTGCTACAGGAGTAAAACATAAAATATAATTTGTTTATACAAATAGTTCATTTTTATACTGGATATAAAGATTCACAATAACATAAAACCTAGGAAGAAAGATGCTTTGAAAGCTTTTCTTTCTTACGTTTAGTTCCTTCGCTTGCAACTTCATCACCAAGCTTCATCTGCTGAACACTCTGTAGATAAACATGGTGTTTAGTTCATCAAGAATTTCATTAAAAAAGAAAAGAAAAGAAAAAAAATAAATTGGTGTGACCACAAACCAAACTCCATACTTGCAAAAGAGATTCTGCCCTTTGAGCACTTCGGACACCTGCTCTAACTTTGAATCCCAATTTCAAAAGCTCCCTGAAAAACCAACTTCTCAGCAAATTTTTAGGGAAAACTACAAGACCTGTTAATAATTTGACTTGGTAAAACTAGAAATAGAATGTAACCTTACAGTCCGTGACCCAACTTTACCAGTAGCACCAGCAACAAATACAAGATTGTCATCTTTTGAATTGGCATCCTTTGTAATTGCTTCAACTGCCTCTGAGCTAAACATTGTGGAGCCTTACAGATATCACAGATATGAATTACATACAAGAACAGAAAATATAGCATGATTGTCATTTCTTAGCTACAATGAGAGAGAGACAGAGACAGAGAGGGGGGAGGAATAAGGGATTCCTCTTTCATTCTTAGCTTACTAAGCTTAGGCTTCCCTCACAACTCGTGGTCTGGCGGCCCTACACCTTGAAACTTTTGGACTCTCCAACTCACACACGTCCACAAGAAGTAGAAACAGAATTAAAAGTTAACTCACACACGTCCACAACCAGTAGAAACATAATTAGAAGTTAGCTAATAAACCTGGTTATATAAGACCAACACTGTATAGTAATGACATACGCCTTAACTGCTGATTCATTGAATGGTCCATTTCAAATATGTTTTGGAAACAATTTTTTCACAAGTTATAAAAAAGAAAAAATTCTCCATGTGTCAACCAAAGTTTCTGAGACATGTACCTTCAAAATTTGTTCTACTTTTTGAGAAAATAATAAGTTTAACATGCAAGTAATGGTACCCAGTTTCTTAACTTTCTTCCCAATTATGGAATGCCATGCACTTTATATTTCTTCTACCTATCTTGATCAAAATCATCAGTGAAATACGAATAGAGTCACGAAAGCCAAGAATCTATCAAGGTATACTTTTGCTCTACGTTCGTTTCTCATCAAATTCATTTCCATAGCTCTCCCAAATTCATAAATTGTAAAAAAAAAGAGGTACTATAACTCCAAAAGAAACATAGATTTCACAACAATGATGCTGACCCTTGAACAGCCCTGATTTGAACTTGGATATGTGTTAAATCAAAAAGCTTTGCGCTTTGGCAAAATTGTTAAAACAACAGTTTACTAGTTTGATTCCTGGGAAATTTTGAGGGGAAAAAACAATGTATTGTCCTTGTGATGTCGCTTTGATCCACAAAAGTTAAAATAAGTACTAATTAGACCAATTTGATTTTAGTTTTATTGGATTCTAAACAACAAATAATAAAATCACTTCATGTTCCAACACTTTCTCATCAACCAAACAGGAAGAAATTTCAAGAGATTTCACACATTACACTGGCAAATAGACAGCATTGTAGATTACCTGAAGCTTGAACTCTGAATCCAACAAGTTTGAGATTCGAGGCATCTCCGAACCTCTTGTAATTGGGAAACTTGATCGCTTGACCACTCGCAAACGGTTTGTCTCTCAAACCAGTTAGGGTTAGAGAGGAGGGTATGCCTGTGATGCTGGGTGATTGTAGAGAGCGAAGCTCCATTGCTATGGAGTTTGGAGAGAGAGAGAGAGAGAGAAAGGGGGAGAGAGAGAGAGTTCAATCTTGTGGTAGTTTACAGTTTAGCGCGCCTCCACTCCATGTAGATATGATGGACCCCGCAAAACAAAGGTTCCATGGTGAGACTGGCTACACATTTGATTTATTTATTTAGGTGTCGTTTCTAATGTTGGCTAATTTGACTTTTTGGCTATGTGTTATTAATTTAAAAGTTAAAAAATTATTAAAAAATTAAAATGTTAATAATTTATGTTAAAAAGTTAAATATTTGTTTTTTTTATATATTTTTTTATAAAAAATTTAAAAGTCATTATGAATATATTAATTTTTTTACATTATATTTTAGTCTAAAAATTAAAAAATTACTAAAATAATATGTTTTCAAACGAGCCCGTAGTCACAAAATGACAAAATAAGTTAAAAATTTAATAAAATAAAATGTCACGTATAAATCATAATCATTTTTTTTTTCACAAAAATTATAAAATTCATAAAAGCTAATCCAAACGAACTTTTTTGCCAAAGCTAAAATAGTTTAAAAAACTAAGCCTCCGTTTGGGAAGTGGGTTGATTTTTTGGCTTTTTGACTTTTTTTGACTATTTTAGCTTGGGCTAAAAAGTTTGGTTTGGGAAAGATTTTTTGACTTTTTGACTTTTTTGATTTTTTTTTGTGAGAGAATAATGTAATGATTATGGGTTGGATGTGATATTTTATTTTTTGTAGCTAAAATAACTTATTTTGTTTTTTGTTACTAAAATAGCCAAAAAAACTCGGTTTAGTTCTTGCCAAACGGAGCCTAAAAAACTAACCCAACTTTCCAAACGAAGCGAACCATTATACATGGTCTTTAATAAATGTAAATAAAAACAAACAATTATGCAGCGGATAAAATAATCATATCATACCTTTCGATGATAGAACCTCGTGGATAAATCACGTGCTTCCAGAGTCTGATAAATCAATCCCAGCAGTGGGGTGATATTACAATGGTGAATATCACCCACACAAACCACAGTGCAATTGACTTGATCGTTGTATCTTGGGAGAGAGTCAGTTTATGGGTAGAAAACAAAACCTACGTTGTTTTCTCTCTTGGTTACCCATAACCAATATCAGATATATATTATATTTATCTCATTTATCCATTGGTTAAATGAGATAATATCTGATATCTATATCATCTATCCATATCATGATATGATAGATATATATCCTGAGTGGCTCATCCAAATAGGTTTGAATTCAAATTCAAAACCCATTTGGATGAGGTTCAAAACGTTCTAAGGGGTTTCTTAAGGGTCATTGCCACATGATGGCGCCCAATTTCTAACATCTCCCACTCGCGACATTGAGTTGCATGACACTATTTGGACCCACGATCCTCAATCTCAATCTCCCCAAAAATAAACAATCTCATACTACCACTGCACCGGTGCGACTGCTGAGAACCACCTGATGTGGGAGCTCTATACTAAAGAGGAAACTCAAAATGAGCCAGCATTAGAACATTCAACCCAAAAAGAATAGAAATAGTGTCCACTATACCCCCAGACCCAGTCTAATTACCACCGGTCCAAAAAACATCTCATAATCCCTCAAAAAGAGCATTTTGACCCTCTTAATTCTTGCAATTATGATTCCACCTAATTCGCTCTCATACAGAGCGATGTGAGTTGCCGGCAGTGAAATATACAACCGAGTGGTGTAATAGCAAGTTGATCTTCCCTTTGCCCTCATTCCATTATTAGTTAGGATTGAGCGACTTTCCCAGTGATGTCCCTTAAGGCCAAATCATACATGACCGCAGGCAACATTACCAAATAGCAGAACAGTCAAGCCCCACCTTATGATGCATAGTCAAAAGTCACCAAAAGGGTATATAAATGAAAGTCATATCAAAATTGACTCGTAGAGACTACACACGCGTGAGGAAGCAAGGGATCCATTCTTCTCACCTCATTTACTCGGTCGCTAAGCACATTATATATTGAATACATGTTACGGTGGAGTAACTTCTTCCATAAAGAGTGACGTCATACTCGATACACCGTACAAAATATTAGTCTAGTCGCTTTCTAGCGGCCTAAACCCGAATTCATCTATTTGCTCGCCTTTAATGGCGCCAAATGAGATCTCGCAATTCTGAGCTAATTCATAACAGGCAAACAACATGGGAACAGTGTTACTAACATCCATGTTGGTCCTTAACACGACCCTCATTTTGGTTATAACCAAGGCGACCATACATAGTGGATTGATTTAAGCCTCTCTTGGCTCCGAATAAAATTTAAACCACCAGTCTCCATCCTGCTCGCTCCCAAGCGCCAAGGGCATTGCTCTTGTGAAGTGAGCCAATCTTGCTGCTGACATCGATTATCTGATACATGCATTATGACACAAACCATTATTAGTGTCAACATCCCACTTCATCTCAAAATAAGCTGATCGAAAAAAAAAAATGACCCACAGCTTGCGCAATTATGGATTCCTAAACATAAGCCATATCAGCCACCTCTTGCGATAGTATATACAACGGAATCCACCATGTGCGCCTCACATGAAATGATTTAAGATCACTACCTCTTGCGCAATAACCTCTCTAAAGATATTTGTGGGCTGACCAATTTGCGTTCATTTTAATGCGCCCAACTAGCGCAGATGCGCCCAACCATCGTATGAATTTTACAATGAGCAAATTAAATATGCTTTAATAAAGCATTTTAATCCACATCTAATGAGCAAGGTCAAAGTTTGAACAACTCAGCTTAACCATTTATCAAAGATAACACTTATCATTGCCGAATACGTCCCACATAGCTACTTATAGGCTCCCACAACAAAGAAAAGATCAAGGAATATAAGTCATCTGTTTCTCGCCAAAGAAATCTAGGATCACTCAAAGACTAAACTCGGCTTTTACCGATAGTAAGTCAATGGATTTGCAATTTTGCATCTAGATCATTCTAAGATATCTTCTATGTAAGTATCGAAGACAGACGAGAATTTTCCCTTAAAAACAATCCCAAGGATCGTACATCCGAGCATATAAAATTACATCACCCATGTCCATCAATCTAAAATAGAGGACTGCCCACCCTAGTGGCGACAACCTTGAATAAATTCCTGTGGCTCATAATGACTAAGTAAGGAAAAACTCTTTTGGACCACTTGATCACTGCACTCAGTGGTCTTTCATCGATCATCGTTGCCTATCATGGCTTGACGAAATCTAAGAACCACTGTTTGGATAATCTCTCTTGCCACTCAACAGGTTCATCAGTCGTTCCATAGATCGCTGCCACAATTCTTTTCATTACCCTTTCAGAGGGTAAAGCTTTTGGAATGGACCTCGATGCGAAAGCCGCTTTGAACGGATTGAAGATTACCTCCAGATCGAGTTTCCCACTCTGACAACACCTTCAGCAGGTGATCCCCTCATTTTATATCTGGCAGTTTCCGATCGGGCCGTCAACGCCGTACTATATTAAAAGAAGAAACTTGGGAAGCAACGGCAAGTTTATTATGTGAGCAAAAGCAATGGTTGACACAGAAACACGCTACCCTTCTATTGGAAAAACTCGTCCTAGTTCTCGTCATGGCAGCAAGAAACTTGATGCATTTACTTTCAGGGGCATACCATTGGGGTACTAACGGACTCCCCCTCCGTTCAGTACTTGTAGTGCAGAAGCATCAGGGCGCGTTTCAAAGTGGGGCTCTCGAACTCGGCTAGGTATGACATTCAATTTCTGCCTAGGACCCTCAATACAAGGGCAAATGCTCATCCGACTTTGTGGCAAATTCATTGGAAGGCCTCGCCGCTTTAAGTCTGATCGAATTCAGCCTAGCCGAACTGGAGAATTTATGTGGGGAACATTTGGCAGTTGTATTGTGATGGGTGTCAACCAACGTGGCAGTGGGGCAGGCGTAAGTTGATCATGGCTTCCTGATAGGGCAATTAATCGAGCAGGCTATCAAATTGGGCTTCGAAGCATCACAGCAATGAGGACGAAACACGAAGCATTGTTAACGTGGCCTTACGGAATGCACTTTCTCCTCGGTGCTCGGTGATTGCTTATCTTCTGCGACTCAAAGCTAGTCATCAAACCAATTGAAGGGGAAATACGCAGCCAAAATGAACCGTTATGGCAGCTTACATTTGAAAACGGTGAATCTTTTTGCTGGACAAAATTTGACCATCATGAACTAAATCAAATACACCCGAGATCAGAACACCACACGCCGACGCCCTAGCTTGCCTTAGCCTTTGCCATCAACTCAATAATTAACGAACAATTAAAAGCAGGATTCATCCTGAGCTGAGCATTGCCCCCTCAGAGTCAAGTTAGATCAATACATAAAATCAGGTCCAAGTTTGGAGGACCCTATCACTGCATTTTTATCTGCGAACAGTTCCTGAATGGACAAGAAAGAAGTGCACAAGCTGCGAAACAAAGCCTGGGCGATTATTACCTAGATCCACAAGGAAGCTCTACAAAAAAATCCCTTTTCTAGTCCATTCCAGAATGCGTTCATCCGGAAAAGGCGAAAAACTCTTTGACATGAAATACACGAAGGTAGTTGCATTGCCCATTCTGGTGGGATGTTCTCTGGCTCATCAAGATGTAACACAAGGGTACTACTGGCCGACCATGAGAGCTGATACCAGAGTGTTATGTCAAAAATGTGAAGAAGTGCCAGAAGTTTTCCCTTTTAACCCCATTTGCCCTGACTAAAGAGTTTGAAGCTCAATCACGAGCCCTTGGCCGTTTGTCAATAGGGGCTTGTATATCATCAGGACATTGCCAACGCAGCCCAGGGAACAAGCGATTCTTGATAGTCGCAGACAGATTAACTTCACAAAATGGATCGAAGTAGAGGCACTAACCACACATCTGAGATACTGTGTTAGGCATTTGTATGGAAGAATTACTCATAAACGTTGATTCGTATTCAAAGAGAGAAAAAAAAAAAGAAAAAAAAAAAAAAGCACTCATTTTCAGACACTTGGACCTAAGTTTGATTGTTGAGTCTACTGAGAATTATGCAGTACACTTATTAGCATTCGC